CTCTTCAGTTTTTGCTTTACTAACTTGGCCTTCGATCAATAATTACCTCACCATTCTCGGTGTCTGAGATTCCCAGCGACTTCAGAAAATATGGCATACAAAAAAATTGCATGAAGAATGTGACGTTGTAGAGAATGGAAAGCAGGTAAGCCAAGGCAATAGGTACTGGCAGCGTTACGGACAAAAACGTCACAGTTCCAAACGGATTCTTCTCCGCCGTGGTTTCACCCATAGCTGCCTGAAATTAGTTATAGGAGGAGGGTTCGATATGTGGGCTTCGGTACAAGACAGATGTGATGTTAACAAACGTTCATGCCCACACATATTGTCAAAAAGATCGATTTTTCGCTAAACAATCAAAGCTCTCGAGTTCAATGAATTCAGATATGAAGCTTGAGTATGAAGCATGCAATCAGCAATGTAAGTAACAATCGTAAGTGTGAATGCCTAGTCGAATCACAGATTGTCCTTTCCTTGATGAAAGGCGTGATTTAGTCCTCAATCAAGAACACCAAATCAAGCCATCAAGAAGGAGCCAGTTTGTGAGTTGTTTGAGGTTTTTTAGCTCGCGCCACATAACATAAGCTAGATATGTTGCAAAGCCAACAAAGCAAACAGACAATGAATAGTATTTTTAGATTTCGGGGCAAATAGCGTAATTATGCTATGATTGAAACAAAATAGTTCAGAGAACTAGCGAATAAATCCAAAATTCGCACAACACTCGAAATTCAGTGATATCCGATCGACAAGTATTCAAAAAATTGTCAATGGATTACGAATGCGAAATTCAGAAAGTGCTAATTTGAAGGCGTTGCAGGCGACATTCGATTTTTTTTATTCGATTTTTAAAGAAAATTTGATAAATCATCAGCCAAAAAATTCTAAAGAGTCGCATCTCTTGAATTCGTCGGCTTCGAATATCAATCGAAAGTCGACCGAAGATTTTCCACGAGTAATTTAAAGGAAGTGTCCAGGCAAATTTGGGGGTATGAATTTTTTGCCGGT